TTTTTGATGAAGTTTTAGTTTAGTTTCCTGCATCAGGCCTAAAGTGCTGGGGAGTGCTTCTCATGACACACTGTTTCTTCCACTTAATCACCACTTTTCACGTTTCTGTTTGTACACCACTCTGTATTCAATCCTTAGTTACTTAGCTGAACTAATGCAATTTTAATGGAATTCCACTGATTTTACAGTTAGAAATGAATTTATAAATGAATGACAATTGAAGTTTTTCCTTTACCTGCATGCTGTCTCCTATCCACCAGTAAAATACAGTCAGGTTGGCCTCACTGGGAAGGACAGTAGCAGTGAGATTGACCTCATGGTTTCTCCCAGCAATGGGAACCACTTCTAGGTGTACTTCCTGCAGAGGGGCTACAAGAAATAAAATTCTATTTAAATAATAAGAAAAGGTCAGACTCTACAGGCCTCAGCTACCATGTTAAATATTAAAGTTTGTGTCAGTAGAATTAGAACATTTCTAACTGACAAATAAGAAGTGAAAAATGAAGTGAGATTCAGAACGGTCTCCAGCATATTTGGCAAAGCTAGACAGATCTGAGAGGAGCGAACCAACTGGCAAAAGATGATTTCGTCACGTTTTTTCCCTGCTAGGTATTAATAGAAATTCAGGACAAATGAGTATGGATGTTTGTGACAGGCAGTGTGAGCTTCAGTGATGAGACATCAGCAAAAACTCCACCTCCAAGAAAAAAAATACATTTTAGAGGCTGTCTAATTAAAAGACAAGGAAGTTCACCAGGAAACCCAACCTGTGACCTGGATGTACATGGTAGCCTCATCGTGTCCAGCCATATTCTCAGCCTTCACTTTGACCTTGTAAATGCCTGGATTTTCATAACGGTGCTGGATGGGTTCATCAGTCACAGTCAGGTTCTGGTAAATTGCCCGTACCCCATCACCAAGATCCACCTGATACTTGGTGCTGCTGGTGTCACCCTGTTAAAGAAAGATAATGTTCAACAAACTGAAACCGAATAAATGAGGAAAAAGCAAAAAGAAAACAACTTTTGTCCTACCTGCTCCTGGTGGACAGTGAATGTGATGTCATCCCCAGGTGCCACAGCCAGCATCTGCCCTTTTATGCCAACTCGTAATCCTTTAGGGGCGAGCAGGGGGCAGTTGTGCTTTTTAGAGCTCTGCTACTTGTTTGACTCCCCTTCACATGAGTTAGATATCATCTTCCTGTAGCTGAAACACAGCAGAGGACAGAGTGTGAAGTCAGGCGTGCACTCTTACTGTAAGCAAGATTAGAGAGTGAATAACAATGCTGGTAGGTGTGAACTTGAGACAGACCCAGTGCTGGACATGTAGGTCTGTCCTAGGTGGCAGTCTTCAGGTGGTGAATCTGGATCATACCAGAAGTCAGCAATGCAGCGGTCAGTTTCCATGTGTGATCGCTCGAATCCATAATCACTACAAAGACATTTCAGCATCATAAAAATTAATAACTGTTCACTAAGCAAGAAAGTTATGCTGGTCTGAGCAAATACTTGAAAAAGTAAAGGCCT